TGAATTATGAAAGGTGAACTTATCCTTTAAATCTCGCAGTGCAGATATGCAGCTATGAAATTGCAGAGCATGGTTTCTCAACAAGGGTTCCACCAGAGGTTACTTGAGGAATGGGCAATTTCTGCCTCTCAGATATGTTTGATCTTTTTAGCTATCTGTAAGGGTGTATTCTTCCCAATAAGAACAAGTATAGGCAGCATTCTTCCAACTGACCATCATGAGTTAATATAAATATATATGTCATTTTTAGCAGGGGTTCCCTGAGACCAGAAAGTTATTTCAAGGGTTCCTCTGTGTTGAAATGTTGGCTGCTGTAGATGCGAGTGACTAGACACTCAAATAACAATGCTTGGCTATGTTTGACAAGAATTTACATTAAAAAAAATAATAATTTTAGGATATTTTCTCACTTTGAGTTCAGGTTAACGTCAAAGGCTAATAGCCAGCTAGTATCCATAAATGGCTGGGTCCAGTGGTTGATTTTTTATATTAAAACCATTTAAATTTTGTAGTAGGTGTATTTTCTTTATAGAACTTTTTTTTATATGTCCTGCAAAGCAAGGACCTTTAACCACTTGCCTACCAGGCACTTATACCCCCTTCCTTACCAGGCCAATTTTCAGCACTGTCCCACTTTGAATGATAATTGCACGGTCATGCAACATTGTACCCATATGAAATTTTTATAATTTTTTTCACACAAGTAGAGCTTTCTTTTGGTGGTATTTACTCGCAGCTGGGTGTTTTTTTTTTTTGCGCTATAAACACAAAAAGGGCAAAAAAATTTGAAAAAAAAGTTTCTTTGTTTCTATTATAAAATTTAGCAAACAGGTAATTTTTGTCCTTCACTGATGTGCGTTGATGAGGCTGCACTGATAGGTGGCACTGACTGGCAGCACTGATGGGTGGCACTAATGGGCACCAATCATCAGTGCCCTGATGATCGGTGCCGATCCCTCCTCTGTCAATTCTCGGTTCTCGGCTGTACTTTCCTCACGCTGCGACAGCGTGAGGAAAGTGCAGCCGATAACCGCCAATTGCATTTCCCGGTGATCAGTGTTTTCATTGGACACGGCTGATCACATGGTAAAAGGCCACTGTGATTGGCCTTTTACCATATCACGTGATCAGCTGTGTCCATAGGACACAGCAATCACGGAGATCGCCGGGGGGCACGCAGGAGAGCGCGTTCTGGGAGGACGTCATATAACATCCACCCACAAACGGGCCAGCCGCAGTGAAGCCATCATTCGGTTATCTGCGGTCGGCAAGTGGTTAAAGTATGTTTTACATTACAGAAAATTAATGACAAAAGCTGCTAAAACAGAACATTTATTAAATGTCTTTAACAGGGTTTGCAAGAAATAGCACTAACAGCTCACAACACAGACATAAGATTTCACATGTCTTATTTTGTATTACTACGTTGTGCCTGGGATTTTATACCCTTTGTAAAACAAGGACAAGCTGAATACCCACATGGCCCAGGCGTTGGGCTGTAATTCCCGCTCTTGTAATTGTAATGTTTTAGGTCAAGGAGCTCAAACTGAGAAGTGCCGCTAAAGCTGTGACTTGATCATGTAACTAAAACTGACAGTGCTAGTCTGTATTCAGAAACAAAAAACTATGTATATGCATATCACTTGTAATGTGAATAAATGCAAAACAGTTAATCAAGAAGTGTTCCATTATAAATTAAAAGCATTATGCTTTATCTGCCAGGCACAAACCCTGTAAGAACATGCAAAGCAACTACGCAACTGTTAAAAAAAAAAAAAAAAAAAAAAAAAAAAGAATGTGCAAGCTAACAACCTAACTAAAAAGTCTAGCATGACTGTCACAATACAGTTGCATGAAGAGTTTGGATACCTCAAATCAAATTACATATTTTGTGAAATAGTAAGGAAAAAAAAAAACAAGTAACAAAAACCAAAAAGATATATCTGCAACCTTAAGGCTAGGTTAACGCTTATGCAGGTTGCAGTTGATTTTTTCGCGTTGCGTTTTGCATTTTCACCACACATTTTTATGGATGTACGTAATGTTGCTAGGGGGAGGTGTCTGTTGTTATGCAGGAAACACCAAAAACAAATGTAACATGTTCTGCATGAGTTTTTGATGCGGTTCCATTGAAGCCTATCACATGCAAAACGCAATTCGCTGCGTGATAAAAAGTCAAAACTCCACACCGGCTCAAAAACCCACAGATGTGAACTAGATCCATGATCCAAATCATGTTAATGGATTGCAGTGTGTTTCTTCAAACCAGGAAATGCCCTGAAAACAGCATAAGTGTGAACCTAGGCTAAAAGAGGGTCTGTCACTTTGCCCATTCATGGGTAGCATGCAACCTTTTCACCTTGCCACCAGCACACAGTGCCTGGGCCTAAATGTCCAATGCCAAGCCTGAATAAAATAGCACGGGTGAGGGGAGGATCACTGAACCCACATTAGCTCCACCACATACCAATGTGGAACTAAGAGGATTAGAAGGCCAGGGCTCCAACAGACCAATGTGAGGAAAAAGAGGCTCAATGGGGAAGGGTCCTATGAGAACTTTTCTTTAAATATGCAAAGTAACAGATTATTTTTACGCACAGACCTTAAACATGAAGTACATACAAAATAATCTAGTAATAGTTATGAAATAGAAGCAATCTGCAGGAAAAGAAAACTAAAGCAAAAACAGAAAGACAAATGACTTCAAGAAACTTTGGAGGATGTGGTTTCTGTAAAAGGGTGTCCAAACTTTACATACAACTGTATCTATACTCTCTCAATTGCTTTACTATTCCCACTTTCTCTGCAGCATGAAGGGAAAGCAGATGGAAGTTATTTTCTCTTGAATTACAACAGGGGTAAGGCTCTACTTCCTATGCAGTTCAATTTTCACTGTCAAACTATTTTACACGGATCTTGTAGAACAGCCTTGCTAACACAAACACTACAGAAATTGCAAAGAAAAACCTCATAAAAAGTGTCCAAGATCTTCATATTAAGGCTTCATCTCCATTTCTCATTTTTCAAAAAACACATTTAACTCTCAATATTTTGCATCAAAAGGCAGGAAGAGTACAGTAATGCATTTTGAAAAAAAAAAAAGGGCCTTGGGATGAGAATTGGGCCTTAGAAAAACCGAATGTCAAGGAAGACATGCATCATCTTCTTAAGGTCTATACAGGCTTTTGCCAACAGTACCCACTGTGACTGAAGTACCTCTGATTAGGATTCCAGCAGTTTATGAAAACATCTACCCCAGAAAAAGGACCTTGGGTGCAAGCAATTATTAATACATGACAATTATGAGCTGACTGCATCTCTGATGCGGCCAAAAAACATCAAAAGGTGTGTTCAGCTTACTGACCCTATTCAGTGTGCTCTGTTACCTGCATTCACCAGAGATACTTTATAATGCACGTTCCTATACAGCATCAAGATGGTGGACTTGAGCTTGCTAGAATTCTGTCTGAGCAAAAAACACAAGCAATACTATTATTCCTTTACTCTTCTCCTTAAAAAAAAGTAAAGAATCTGTCCAGCTGGCAGGGAGATTTGGTAATATGCTATCAAATCTCCCAGTGCATCAACAAGCACCTCAACCCTCTGAAAACACTCAGTATTGGCCCCTTGAGAGTGTAGAAATAAACCTAATCATCAACATTGACAGTGCCAATTGCTGTATTTGGACTATATATGGCCACCTTCTCACATCAGGTCAGACAGCAACAGGCACCCCTTTAGCAAAAGTCTAAATCTGTACCTGTAGAAATAACTGTTAAACAGAATCTGCTTTCCCCAGATATGCATAGTAAGGCACTTTAGGGTTGAATGCATAAAGCCATTAACAGTCATCTATTCAGCATGTCACATTATCACTTTTTTTTTTATTATTAAAAAAAAGGAATTTTATAGTTATCTGTGCTCGACAGAAGGTAGGTTTTGTGAGTTATAAGAATATCCAATCTGTCAGCCACATAAGAAATAGCAGAACTACATGCCTTAGGCTGCATTCACACCTGTGTGATCTGAAAATGCAGGCAGAATCATGCATTTCTGTCTGAGTTTTAGGTGGCATCATAATTTCTTAATGGCACCTAAAACGCAGGTACAGGTCCAACATTTTGTGTGAAAAATGCAGCAAAACGTAGAATGCAAACCGCGCTTGGCTCAGTGCAAAAAAAAAAAAAAAAAAAAAAAAACAAAAACCATCAAAACGTGTCACACAGGTGTAAACGGGGCATTCACACCAGAATGCAATGTGGGAAACCAATGTTCTGTGTGCGTTTCCTACACTGTGTTCAAAACACACTGGGTCTGCGATCTGCTGTGGATGTAAATGTAGAGCATTTGCCTGCACCGATTGCATAGTACCACAGGGCCATGCAATTTGGTCGCAGTGTGTTTTTTGAAGTAGTACTTTTGATGCGATCCAGTGCGATTTCAGCCCTTTCAAATGAATGGACTGAAAATCGCATTACACGGAATTGAACAGAAACACAAATCACATTTCTGTGCGGATACAGTGTGAATTGGTACTTAAAATAGACTTTTTACATAAAAATTGTAATGGCTATTTTGTAAAATTAATATATAATGAGAAGAAAAAAACAAAAACAGAAGCAGAAGTACATTTTCTCAAGATTTGGGATCCTTGACCTTCCTAGGAAGGCTACTGAAAGCAAGAGTTTTTTTTTTTTTTTCCTGTTTACACCTAGCAATGTTAAATGAAAAGGCGTGGGTGCACCATATACTTGTTATTTATGTGAAAGGTGCTTTAATCACCTAATAACCTAGCAAGATGTTTTCCTGAAGATAAAGCCTAACTCTAAGTGCACTACAGAGAAAACCTCTCTTTCTGTGCAGGTGCACCTTATAAAAAATATAACTTTGTAAAATAAAGTGCAGTTAACAAAAAAACTTTGTCATATTAAACACCACCTTCCATAAATAAAAAATAATATCCTCCAAAATGCTGTGTGAGCATTTTCAATGAGCATATTTCACATGGTATTTCCTGGCACATCTTGTTTCCACAGGAATTCCTCCACATAATGTTTCTCTGCATTGCAGTTGGCAGCACACGTGTACACTGCTAGAATACCCCAATCAATGCTTTCTTCAAGGCTGTCCACTTTCAGATGGTTCAGGAGCTGCGGCATTACCTAGAATAAATGTAATGATATTCAGTAGTAATTGAGATTTTACAGGTGCATTAGGAGTACCTAGTTATGATGACTGAAATTGCAAAACAAACTACATGAGAGCCCAGCAATAAGTTTCCACAAAACTTTCCTGTTGACCTAGCCTAAGTGGATTCCTTCGGTACCATTCAAAGAGGGGATCGAAAGCTACCCAGGAATCTGCATACAAGGCAACCCAGCCAGAGATAATAGGCATCCCTGCTCTCCTTTGCCAGAATGGTGATTCTAAATTACAAACATCTCTGGAGTTCTCTGCCACAGCCATTCCACAAAGATAAGGAGGCTGTAGCAGTTATCACATGACACATTTGATCTCTTCTGTATCTTTTATACAGGGTTTCTCTATAATATACTTAAGTCAATTAAACACACATACACCTCACACCTTTCTTCCAAGGTGTATACATTTTTCAAAATGGATTGAGCCTGAAAACTCTGGATCTTATATGTGGTCAGAAAAGTAAACATAGAAATCAAGTCAGATCCCTGGAAAAACAATACTGGCTTTTGTCCAAATCCCAGCTTTAGTTTTTTGATCGTTTTATTTAGCAGTTCAATCAAGAACTGGATGCAGGATAGCATCATTCATGTACAACCAATATAGAATTAAAATGTACACCTTGTGGTCAAGAAATTGCTGTAGCTCAGTGCATCTCCTCAGCTGTGGGGTTCAATGTCCCCCCCAGTGTCATTTTGAACTTTTTCTGTTACCGCTGACATAAACAAGATCATCATCTTCATGCTATGGATCAGTTTGACTAGGGCAACAATCTGCTCATTGTAATTCTCTATTTTGCTAGATTTTAAAACTGTACTTTGAGCTGTGTTGCACACTCCAACGTATAGTCTCAGCCAATTGGCTCTGTATGTCTATGCCATCTGTTAGTAAAAACCTTTGTAAAAGAATTACAAAATACAAAAGAAGTAATAACACACAATGCAACACCATCCAATACACTGCGCGTTACTAAAGTTCTATTTACCTGAAATTCAAACATTCTTTTGGCTCCGCATGCACACTTAGGAATATCATCCTTTTCTGGGATATGTTGGAGTGAAAGCCAGAGAGGATCTCCACCTTTACAATACCTCAGGACCTGTAGGAAATTAGATATAAATCAGTAACACCTTCAACCTGACTCAAGATTCAAATCTGCTCCCTTCCCAGAACAAGGTACCAGACAAGGGTGCCTGCTGCACCCCCCTCCCCCATTTACATTTGCCATGGAAAACCTGGCACACCTATTTAGATGCAATATTCAGCACAGAGACTTGGTGGGCACACATTACAATCTAAGCCTCTTTGATGCTCTACTCCAGTTTACAAATACTATTGCCGCTATACACTCCCTCCCAAATCGATGAAATCCTTTTAGGATCCTCCCAGATAATGTTCCTTCTCATGTCCTTTGCAACTTTCAGACTCCCTAAAGTCACAATTTACCTACCAACATTTTTCAGAGGTTTTGGAGCTCCCCATAGATATTACCAAGTGTTGTAACTGGCCCAATTCACAAAATACCATTGTACTTATGAAACTCTCCTTTGGGTTAGCCTTGAATCGATTGGCTTGTACCCTCATCTCATGGATCTGCTCTGGCTACTGCCCAAAGACAGGCAAGACACTACTACTCCCTTTACGGATATCTTGCATTCTCCCACTACCATTACAATCTGTTCTCTATGACCCTTCATTCACCCCAGGACTTAAAATTCCACAAACCCTTTAGGGGTTGGTTTACCCCAAATAAAAATCACATAAACTATACATGGGGTCTAGTATAGTTTTAAATGCTTTAACCCCCCCCCCCCCCCCCCCCCCCCCCCAAGGAGGAGTTTAAACCTTCTCTTTCTGAAACGTCGCCTTCAAGAGAAACCCTATCATGCACACAATCAACTTTACTCCTTTATTCGCGGTCATTATATGCAAATGTTTGAAAGATCCACACTTGAAAGGACTGGTTCCTTCTCCATTATTCCCCCTCTAACCTCGAGATCCATTATACTACTTACACACTCGCCGGCCACTTTTTATTAGGTATACCTTTTCAATTGCTTAGTAACACAAATTGATAATCAGCCAATCACATGGCAGCAACTCAATGCATTTAGGCATCTAGACAAGGTGAAGATAACTTGCTGAAGATCAAACGGAGCATCAGAATGGGGAAGAAAGGGGATTTAAGTGATTTTGCACATGGCATGGTTGTTGATGCCAGATGGGCTGGTATCAGCATTTCAAAAACTGCTGATCTACTAGGATTTTCACACACAACCATCTCTAGGCTTTACAGAAAGTGGCCCTAAAAAAAGAAAATATCCAGTGAGCTGCAGTTGTGTGGACGAAAATGCCTTGTTGATGTCAGAGAAGAATGGGCCAGTCAGACTGGTTCAATATGATAGAAAGGCAATAGTAACTCAAGTAACTGCTCGTTACAACCAAGGTATGCATACCATCTCTGAACGCACAACACATTGAACCTTGAAGCAAATGGGCTACAGCAGAAGACCACATTAGGTGCCACTCCTGTCAGCTAAGAACAGGAAACAGAGGCTACAATTTGCACAGGCTCACCAAAATTGGACAAAAGAAGATTGGAAAACATTGTCTAGTGAGTCTCAATTTCAGCTGTGACATTCATATGGTAGGGTCACAATTCGGCATAAAAACATGAAAGCATGGACCCATCCATCCTACTTTGTATCAATGGTTCATGCTGCTGCTGGTGGTGTAATTGTGTGGGGGATATTTTCTTTGGGCCCCTTAGTACCAATTGAGCATCGTTTAAACACCATGGCCTACCTAAGTATTGTTGCTGACCATGTCCATCCCTTTATGACTAGTGTACCCATCTTCTGTTGGCTACTTTCAGCAGGATAATGCACCAGGTCACAAAGCTGAAATCATCTCAAACTGGTTTCTTGAACATAATGAGTTCACTGTACTCCAATGGCCTCCAGTCACCAGATCTCAATCTAATAGAGCACCTTTGGGATGTGGTAGAATGGGAGATTTGCTTCATGGATGTATTTACCAATGTTCTGTATCGGAGGACACTGAAAGGTCCTCCACTGTTCATGTACAATGTTGAAGTTTCTATAATAAAACCTTTATGAAACTAAACGCTTTTCTTGATCACTTGAGATTTTTTGTGGACTATTTTGGATCACATCTAGTTTGGTGGTGATTTGTGCACATGCACTGAAAATATTGATTGTTTTATTATGGCTTATTAATTGTGAACAATATAGCACTTTAGTGTTTATGTACTAAATTTTGATTTAACACAACACCAAAATTTAAACAAATAATTCCAAATAGTTGTCACAAAATTTGTTTCTTCTATTTGTGCCAAGTACAGAGACCCCAAATATGTGAGAGTTTTGATACGATCATCAGCACTGTCGATAAATGTTTTACAATTCTACATATTAGAATTCACAGGCCAGAGTAGTTGGTGTCATTCTGGACTCCAACCTGTCCTTCCAGCCCCAAGTCCAATCTTTAACAAACTCGTGCAGACTCCACCTCCGCAACATCGTCAAAATACGCACGTTCCTAACCCCAGAAACCACTAACCAGCTCATCCACTCCCTCATCATATCACGACTCGACTACTGCAACTCCCTCCTCACTGGCCTGCCTCGCCGCTGGCTATCCCCGCTTCAGTCGATCCTGAATACGGCTGCCAGACTCATTCACCTTTCCAACCGCTCCATCTCCGCCACCCCCCTCTGCCAATCCCTCCACTGGCTTCCGATTGCACAACGGATCAAATTTAAAATCCTAACACCGACGTACAAAGCCGTCCACCACACTGCCCCGAACTACATCACTGACCTAATATCCAAGTACCGCCCAGCACGCACACTCCGCTCCTCACAAGACCTCCTTCTCTCTAGTTCCCTGGTCTCCTCCTCCCATGCCCGCCTCCAGGACTTCTCCAGGGTGTCACCCATCCTCTGGAACTCCCTGCCCCAACCCATCAGATTATCACCTGCTCTCCTCTCCTTTAGGTGCACCCTGAAAACCTATCTCTTCAGGGAAGCCTACACCACCCCCTCCTAACCTGCTGACCTCCTCTACTCCTCCTACCACTCCATCCCCCACAGCTATCTCCTCCTGTGCCACCATCCCCTCCCTCCTAGATTGTAAGCTCGAAAGAGCAGGGCCCTCAATCCCCTCATGTTTTGCATTGTATTGGTATTGTTCTGTCACATGTTCTGTCCCCCTTTGTAATGTACAGCGCTGAGCGAACCATTGGCGCTTTATAAATACTGTATAATAATAATAATATTAGGCATTTTTCAGTACAATGGCAATAGTTCATAAATCAGCCTGGGACAACCTTACCACACTGAGCTTGATACTGGCTATAAATACCGGTGAAGGGCTTTCCAATAAAAGTGATTGGACAGCTTTAGATCCATCTGACCACTTTTACAGGGCTCAAAAGGTACATTTTGATAAATAACTGCACAAATATCATTGGTATATAGGTGTGTAATTCAAGATTATATTGTATATACTGGGGAAAGTAGACCTTTACCTGCTCTGGTTCTGAAGAAATCCGTTTCTTGAAGCTGTTAAATATCTTGTCTTCTTTGGTTTCTTGTTTTGCCATAGCACTCAGTTCATTCTCATCCAATTTTAATTCATCCAAGGACGATTCTAAAAGTAAACAGCTCGTTAGCTATGAGCAGCTATGGTTCATACAAATACTATGATTTTCTGATCTTTTTGAGATGCGTTATATTGTTCTTTTTCTTCAGTAATGTTGCAGTGAGGGACACCTGTATTTGTAAACCTATTTGCTTAGTCTAAACAGAAAAAGAATTTACAAAAACAAACAAAAAAAAGAAAACAAATACTAAAAAAACATGTAGTGAGCACTGGTTCACATATGTGTAGCTCTTGATGCGTTTTCAGCTTACAGATTTGCATGAACAAAGAAAGGCAACATGTTCCTATGGAGGGTGTTTAGATATAAACGTTTAATCTGCAGTCAATTTTTGTAAAAGGGTCATGTGGGAGTTTGGAGCAGTCCGTTCTGAATTTGCACTGTATGAAGTTGAGTGGTAACCCAAGTGAAATCGCTTTGTGCTGTTCGAGGAGAATTGCATGTAATTCACACTGCAGCTGCTACCTTAAATCACACTACAAACCAGAGCAATTTTGAACGGTATATGTATGAACCTAGGCTGGCAAATACGCAGGTTTACATTGGTGACTTCATGATAATGCTGAGAGGCTCTCCAATTTATTCACTGGCCACAATTTCACTCATTGACCAGGACACGATTGTAGTTCAGGAGTTCTGACTGCAATAGCTGTACTCTTTATCAGTCAGATGTTCTAAAGCCAGGTACAGTAAAACCAGAGCTCAGCTGCCTGTTTTTTCCACCCCACAGCCACTCATGTAAAAAAGAGGCCTTAGAGTCATGGAGGAAACAACTGAAAATTCTATTCCACAGAGGTCCCTAGGCATCCTCAGCAGTGCTACATACTTACTCCTGGTTCACATCTGTGCAGATGGTTCCGCTGCGGTCCGCACAAAAATCCGTGCAGCCGCACCACTCGCACCCGAGGGATGCGGACCCGCGGGAGGGTGCCATTAATTCTAATGGTATGCCGCCCGCACTGGAAATCGCAACCGTACTGGGAACCGAGGTTCCTGTGCGGGCTGCGTTTCCGAAGAAGTGCAGGGACTTGACTGCGTTTCCTGGAGCACGGAGGTCCATTCATAATGAATGTGCTCTCATGCCCACGCAAAACACGGCCCACAGGAACGCGGAGATGTGAACCTAGCCTTAAACATGGTGTGGATATTCAGATATATACAAGTTTAAACACCTACTGATAGGCGGCCATGGGGAACATCAAGGGAAGCTGAGAACATTCTATGGCTGAAATGCCACTAAGGATTACAATTGTAGATTTTTATAACAATTAGCATTTCAAGATCATAAAAGGCAGAAGCTGAGCAATTTGTATGCGCATAGAAGGTATAAACAAACATTCAATAGAACAAGACCACTGAAGTAAAATTTATGTAGATTTTTGATGCAACACAATATCTCCCCCCCCCCCCCCCCCAGGTGTAATTTTACCAATACATGAAGATGTGTCCTCTGATGTCAAAGTGTCCAACTCCATTCCTGTGCTGTCATCATCAGAATCTGTCTCCTCTGGTTCTGTGACAATTTCATATTCTGGAAACAGGAATCCGTGAACTGCAACCTGAACACCCTGCGCATCTAAATAATAGAAAGAGGATCATGCTGCAAAATCCAATGAATGTACAGTCAGTCAGGTCTGTTCAGAGCATTAATGGTATCTTCAAGAAATTTTCAAATTGTCTGCTGTATATCATACAGGTATTCCTAACTTATAGTCTCTGGTGTTCCTAAAGCTAGAAGATTTCAAAAGAACAGTCTGGGTCCACACTAATGCGGCACGAGCCACCTCATCTAATTCGTACAGGAATCGCACCGCATTCCTGTGCGAATTACATGCAACGTCTGTGCAGTGCGATTTTAGCCATACTGTATGCAGTACCCTTTTTTTGTTATCTGCACCTGCATCGCATAGCTGTTCTCAACCATGCGACTTCTGGCAATTGCATCATGTTTTACAATCTGTTTCAGGGTTGTCAATTTATCATTCACACCTGCACCAGATTACAGGAACGCCATGCAATTGCAATGCGGTACAGAAAATGCACAGGATTTGCAGTGTTTCCCGCACCACATCAGTGTGAACCCAGGCTTATACAAAAATTACCAGCACATTTACTGAATGTTGTTTGAAAGTACTTCAACATTTAATTTGCTTTTATCATTTGAATTGGAATGCATGGACTTCTCCAGAATCAAAATACCTTCGAATTTTCTCATCACTGCAGTCGAAAACTATCAATTTGATGTCAGTAACGATCAAAAAATGGAAATCTAAGAACAAAATTCTTGACAGTATGTATTAGGCTTAGTGTACAGCCAGCCTAATAAATACTGTCAAAATATATAGGAAGAGTCTATTTTTTAAAAACCACCTGCTACAGCTAAAATCAGATCTGAGCCCCAAGGTGAAAGGACAGACTGATATGACTGGAAAGTTGTTCAGACTTGCTATTCCACCGACTGTGGCCCCATACCTCCTGGGATCTGAATGTGGCTCATTTTTCTTTGCAGAGAGACTTTCTATAAGACCAGCAGCAAAGGAGTGGTGTTGAACAGGATACCAGCTACATGGCTCACTACCAGGGCCATTAAAAGGATGCCCAGCCAGGGCACGGAAAAGACCGGGACCTGAGGATCACTATATACTGTAAAAGGGGGGGGGGGGGGTCTTAAGGGAACACAAATACTGAAAGCGTGCCTAAACCTGAACACAAATATTAAATATATTGCAGCGCACCAATCCTTAGATGTTGTGGTGGAATTTATTTTAGGTTTTTTTTCCCCTATACTTTCACCTGACAACCCTGTAAATAACACTTTGTCTTTACTCCATCGATGGGGCAGCATTGTCACACTGACTGGACTTTTCTGTACTGGCTAAAAAATGCTTTTAGCCTGAAAAGTGAAACCTAAAGCAGCCACCACATCTAATGACTGCAAGCTTGACTAGATTACATTTTTTTTTTTTTCGCTTTAGATACACTTTAACCTCTTAGCGCGCTGCCTCCCAGCCCTTTAGGAGTTTGAGAAGCCAGGTGGTGGGCGGGTTTTAGGGCCATGTGACCGCTGTGACTCGCAGTCACATGATCGAAAAAGGCCCCGATCGAAAGGCTCAGACGCCGAGAGGCTGCATATTTGCGTGCGCTCAGCGTCAAGGGGTTAAGAAATGCAATATACCAATTAAACTTACCAAAAGACTCATTACACAGATGTTTATGTTGTAACTTCCAATCCATCAACTGATGTATTCTGCTACAGTAATTGACTTTATGACATTTGGAGCATGTTTTTGGTCCCAAGCAGCCGCATACTCTGCAGAGACGAAGGCCACACTTCAGTTGAAAGCTTATGGAGTCTTCACTTGCAGGTGGCGGTGAATCAGGCGGTGGGCCATAAGAATAAGTATCATTTTTCCGAGGGAGCTGGTTCCTAAAAACTAAGGAACAGAAATCTGGTTTAGAGACATACAATTCATTCTGGTGTTCCCGTCAGTTTACAAATTGTCCTAGATCACATTAAACTTAAAGAAGAACTCCGGAAGAGTAAAAAAAAAAAAAAAAAATCACCTATTAGTACACCCCCCACACAAAACACTAAACAGTTAATACAATTTTGAACATCCTTACCTTTTAGGGGAAAAGTCTAATTTAATTTTCATGACCTCAAATCTAATTCAAAAGATAACAGCATCTGCTCGCCAAGGAGGGGGTATATCAGCCGGGATTACAGCTCCTCTTTGCAGAAGGAAACTACAGTTCCCATCAATCGCCAGGGAATTGTAGTCAATGTGTGCGGGTACGCTAGACCTGGACATGTTGAATGTGTCGAAGTCTTGGTCCGCCCAGCACTGCAAGTGGGGCTGAATTACTTCCCTGCTTTCTGGAGAAAGAACTACAGAAGGGATGTGCCAAGACCAGTGGCTGGGGGAATAGGAGGCATAGCAGCCAGCAGTCTTACAAACAGGAAACCAAAGAGAGTGAATCAGAAGACAGACGACATATTCAGTGAAGATAGGAAACACACAAGGACATGTAAAGATGTTTTTGCCTGGATTTCTGCTTTAACCACTTGTCTACCAGGCACATATACCCCCCTTCCTGCCAAGGCCAATTTTCAGCTTTCAGTGCTGTTGCGCTTTGAATAATTGCGCGGTCATGCAACTATGTACCCATATGAAATTTTAAAATTTTTTTCACACAAATAGAGCTTTCTTTTGGTGGTATTTAATCACCACTGGGTGTTTTATTTTTTGCGCTATAAACAAAAAAAGAGCAAAAAATTTGAACTAGTGTGCATTGATGAGGCTGTACTGACAGGCAGCACTGATAGGCAACACTGATGTGTGGTGGCACGGATAGGCAACACTGACGGGTACTGATGAGCTGGCACTGATATGCAGCAATGATGGGCAAATGAAGGGTACTGGTGGGCACTGATCATCAGTGCCCTGATGATCAGTGCCAATCTGTTTTCTGACAATTGCCAGTTATCGGCAGCGTGAGGAAAGTGCAGCCGACAACCGGCCGCTGCATTTACCCAGTGATCTTCTGTGTCATTGGATACAGATGATCACGTGGTAAAAGGCCGCTGTGATTAGCCTTTTACCACATTACGTGATCAGCTGTGTCCTGTAGGAACAGCGATCACGGAGATCGCCAGGTGCACACCGCTGGGGGTGAACGTTCTGGGAGGACGTCATATGACGCTCTCCCAGAACAGGCCAACTGAGCTGTAGCCATCAGTCAGCTATAGCCAGTTGTCAAGTGGTTAAAGGATAAGTTCAAATTCGGGAATATGTTACATGTTCCACCCATTTTGAGGGCAGAGCATGTAACATGTGCTTGCTCCTGCAGTGGCTCAGTGATCCGAGCTCTCTGTGTGACTGCAGTACGGGGAGAAGTTCCCCTGTACCATCTGACACTTTTAAAAGAGCAAGGCCTGTCCGGGGCTCCGCCCACATGGTTACATTATTAATTCACAGAGTACTGAGAATGAATCAACTACAAGTACTGACATCCTTTGTGGCTGTCAGCTTGTAATTTCAATGAACTACCATGTGCTGCTGAGCACTGTGGTAGTTTATTGATTATTCCTGTCAGAGTGAAAATGCCTGTCCGTACGATTTACTCTATCTCTGAACACGCCCACTGGGAGGAGTGAAACGCGTCAGAGGGAACTTCCAGTGACTTCACATCCTGTCCAGTGGAACACACGCGAATAGCGGAGTTCCCCATATGTTGTGCTGCCCCCAAGTGTACACAGCTATAATAAACATGAAACAAAAAATGTATTATATTGCAGCTTACCAATCAGAGGTGGTGACTGCACTGATTTTCACCTGGTGATCTGGCCAGTAACACACCTCCTGTATTAGAATGCTTCCACTCTAGAAGGAGCAGCAGAGGGGGCACCTTTGTTAATCTGGAGAGGGAAGTGTTAGATATACTAGCAGATTTGCATACACTAACTGAAGCCAAACTCCAGCTAATGCTTCATAATCAGTTACAGCAAACAAGCTTTTCTCTTCTGGTAAAGGTTTTACATAAATAAATGCTGATCATTGCAAGCACCCATCAGTAAAAAAAAAATATTTGTCAACCCTCTGCTACATCTGCAGGACAAATTCTTTCTTTTGAAAAACAGACTTACTGGCAGGATCACCAGAATGAAAATAAAGGAAAGAAAACCTAAAAAAAAAAAAAAACTAATGCAGTCATTACATCTAAAAATTTGTTAAGCTGCAAAAAAAATATTTGCTTTTGGGCTTAAGGCTCGGTTCATACTTCTGTGATAAGATTTTGATCCGATTTTCAGTATGATTATGTAGAGCTACTTGGACGCAGCTTTAATAAGGTTTGTATATTCTATGGGGCAAAAACTGTGCTGGAATCACATCAAAGCAGTACAGGAACCTTTTCCAAAATCAAGCTGTGCTGAGTCTCATTGATGTGAGCAGGCACTAATGAAAATAATGTGATTTCTATTGTCACTTTCATGCATTTTCTCCCTGTGCCTGCGTGGGTTTCCTCCGAGTACTCCAGTTTCCTCCCACACTTCAAAGACATGCTGGTAGGTTAATTGGCTCCTGTCTAAATTGTCCCTAGTATGTGTATGTGTGAATGTAAGTTAGGGACCTTAGATTGTACACCCCTTGAGGGTTAGGGACTGATGTGAATGTACAATATATATGTGTGTGTGTGTGTGTGTAAAGCGCTGCGTAAATTGACGGCGCTGTAAGTACCTGAAATAAATAAAATAAATGTAAAGCAATTAATTTACACGTATCTGGATTTTTTTTTTTTTTTTTAGCAGACATGTCGCAGAATACATTTTGGCCTAAATTTATGACGAAATTTGATTTTTTTTACATTTTTTTTTTTTATTGGACATGTTTAATAGCAAAAAGTCAAAAATATTTTTTTTTTCTCCAAATTGTTGACTTTTTTTATTTATAGTGCAAAAAATTAAAAACCGCACAGGCAATCAAATACCACAGAAAGAAAGCTCCATTTGTGGGGGAAAAAAGGACGTAAATTTAATTTGGGTGCAGCGTTGCATGACTGCGCAGTTGCCAGTTAAATTAACACAGCGCCGTAACACAGAAAAAAATGGCCTGGTCAGGAAGGGGGGGTAAATCCTCTGCAGGGCAAGGGGTTAATTACCACTTTAATCATCCCCAGAATCTGTGTAATTAGGAGGTACCCGGTTTTAAAGGGATGAGGTGACAACCCTACTTGACAAGCGGATTTCTTCCATCCCCGTACAGCACAGGACATGGAACCTTCTGGTTACCTTTAAAGCACCGCCTCTCCGCCCCATGGTGACACTGAGGGTCCCGGCAGCAGAAGATGAAGATGGTCCGGTGGAAGCTGCCCGTACACGGCGCATAGACCTGTAATAAGAAGGCCAGGGGCTTCCCGCACAGCCCGCACTGTACAGCTTCCGGGCCCGGGACCCCCGCCTCACCCAGCCACGCCGGCCGACCTCCCGTCTTACTGGGGAACTGGAGGCTACGCAGCCGCCATGATTCCGCCTCCTGGACGAAGCCCAGTTCAATGACTTTGACAGAAGCTGCCATCATTCGCACCACAAACAACTACCACGTGTGGGGAAACGGCAACAGGCTACGCAGAGCACGCGCGGCTCGGTCGGGGCATGCGCAGTACAGAATGGCATGAAGCATCGTCCACCATGTTTACTGATGGCTGTGGAAAGGCGGGGCCGATGAAATAAACAGACGATTTTTACATGGTGCAAATTCACATAATTTGTTGAAATTGATATTATACATGTATTCACTGTATTGAAATTCTTTCAAAATTTGAGTGAAAAGGGGCTAAACATTTGTCTGTTGGGGAAATTGTTTTAATTTGTTGTACCTGTTAAAATCTGCATTTTTTTTTCCTGAAGCCCTGGTTCACATCTGTGCAGCCGTACGGGCCACGATTTCGCGTGGGCATGAGAGCCCATTCATTTGAATGGACTCCCATACCTCGGGACGTGCAGGGAAGAAGTCCCTGCAGTACTTGGGAAATCGAAGATTCCCAGTACGGTTGAAATTTCCAGTGCAGGTGGCGTGCCATTAGAATGAATGGCACCCGCCTGCAGGTCCCGCAATCCTCTGTGTGGGTGGTGTGGCTGCAGGTATTTGTGCGGGTCCTGCACCGGCACCACCCACGAAGATGTGAACCGAGTAAAAATCATTGTGACACCCCACTCCCCCAAAGAGAAGTACAAAAATCATTGTAACCCACCCCCCCCCCTAAAGAAAAAAAAAAAAAAAAAAAGAAAAAATCCATATATATATATAAAAAAATTTTTTGGGGGGGGGGGGGAGTGTACAGTAATATATATAGAGTGTAAAATAAGTGCAAACTTGCTCATCAGAGTTGGACGCGGAGTTCTCCCTTTTTATTAGAAGTATTCCTCAATCCTTCCTTCCCTACCCCCTCCCTTACTGAGAGGCACAGGGACAGATTTGTGTTAAAAGTTGCTGGCAGGCTAAAACAGCAGGGGGCCCAGCGCTACAAAGCCCCCCCATGAGCAGCAGCCCCTCAGTTTCAAGGCCTGGGAAAACTCATCCCTCCTAATCAAGATAAGGCAGCTTTTCCCAGATTTGAAAGAAGTCGGAACCTCATAAAACCTACCAGCCAGGTGACAGAAGTTAATTGAACATTCCTCAGGTCAGCTGTCACCTATGTTTCATATCATGGATTATGAAGCTGTCAGTTTTAATGCAGAGTCCATCTGACGATTCCGCCCAAAACAGGGTATTGGCCAATCTCAGAGCCACTCCCCCCCTTGCAGGGGGATTTTTAAAAAGACAGGCTGGCAAGTGTCAGGGCTCCGGGGTGTGACCAGAGGTATGTGACTGACGCAGGGAAACGCAGGCTTCAGATAAGTTATAAACAATAAGACAATTTATTAAAGACTAACAATACAAACATAAACGCAGTGCAATACTAAAACATAACACAGTGTAAACGAACCAAACCAACCACCCACAGATAACAATATATACAATGCAAGCGTTGTCAGGCAGGCCGGGTCAATAACAATCGGGCAGGTAGGAACAGGGGGTCAGGCAGAGAATGGTCGGGGTCACAAGCCAGGGATGAAACAGGAGAAGTCAGCAGAGGTCCGGAATCAGGCAGGGTCAGCAACGAATCAGACAGAGACAGGAACAGGAATGCAGGAACAAGATACAGGGCCCAGGAAAAACACACACCAAGGCAGAGACTGCAGGTCTGGCCATCCCTTAAATACACCTGCATGATCAGTTTCAGATGTTTGGCTGGCTGCAGGGTTGAGTCTCTGATTGCCGGGAGCACCCGCTGGCCAGCCCTGGTACTGCAGCCCACAAGGCAGGTGAGTCCCACCATTACTGGCAAGTCCATTCCTGACAGCAAGCCTGAGGCTAAGCAAAACACATCTCCTGATCTTAACATCATAACAGAGGAGATCAAAGACGCTTTCTGCTCTGCAACTTGGATCTGCTTACAAGCCAAGGCGTATTGGCAAGTAACATAATCCTTTAACTTCCTTCCTATTATCTCTTTGCTGTGTTGTGGGTCTTTATATATATATATATATATATAGTTACATTTTCTTTGTAAATATTTTATTGCACCTGTTTGACTCTTTTAGTGATAAATCTTTCTTTCTGAAAGTGTTAAACTGTTTCTAAGCGCTTACTTGCAATTCACGAATTCCTGCCTTTGAAGAGACGCTACTGTGTTTGTTTAATCCTCTGCCCAATCGGCCTGCGGTGACCGTATTGGACAGGCGACTTTTCAATCATTATAGTGTATATTTGATAACGGGAGTTTCCCAGTCTCCGACAAAAGTGGTTGTGGCAGTAGAGGGTTAGTCGCATAATTAACCCGACCCAGTAACAAGTGCATTCAGGCTGCAGGCACCGATTGTAGCTCATTAGCTGGACAATCGCTGTGCAGGATGCAGCTGGGTGGGGCCTTGTTACGCGCATCACACTGCGGTTTTAGATCGGCCGGTCCTTTGGGCAAGAGTTTGGTGAGAAGGTCTGGGATCTGTCGCCGCGTACGTGATGTATTATTGTTGGTCGCGGTCGTGCGATTGTTGCATGTTGGGGGCGGCGATCGTGACACTGAACACGTCACCTTTTTTCTCAGTAAATATATTTCTGAAGGTGCTGTTGACATGAAATTATCACCACATGTCGGTAACAACCCATGCATACAAAGAAACCAAAACAAATAAGTTCAGAAATTAAAGCGAAGTTCCACTCATCTGTCAAATAATAAAAGCCAGCATCTACAAAAACTGTAGCTGCTAACTTTTAAAAAACAGCCACTTACCTGTCCCTCGGTCCCGTGGTATCTCCCCCGCAGCCCGTTTCACCTGCCTTCCTGGAGGCCTGCATCTTCAGTGTGGGCATCCGGCTGTGACTGCTTTGAGCTTCACAGCCGAGTACCCACTGCGCATGCGCGAGTAGCACTACACTTCATGAATGGTCCTGTAGTCTTCTGGGACCTGTCACATGTCCCAGAAGACTACGGGAGGGAAGGAGGGAGGACACCTTCCGTCTCCGATCGCCTAGGCGGTCCGACCGCAATTGGGAGCCTGTACCTGTCAAATTCAGGTACCCGCTCCCCCCTGCCCCCCAAAGGTGCCAATTCTTAATGGGGAGCAGTCCTTAAAGCGGAACTTCCCCTTTTGAGTGGAGCTCCGCTGTAGGTTATGTGTAATTGTAATGACACAGGGAAAAAGTATTGAACACATGATGAGAGGGAGGTGCAAAAAGACAAGGAAAGCCAAGACACCAGCTAAAGTCTATCAGTAATTAGAAAGCAATCCTGCCCCTTGTCAGTGCAATTAATATCAGCTAACTCAGTCTCAACTGATGGCCTATAAAAAGGTGTCTCATTATCAAGGTGTCACACAAGAAACATCTCATGATGGGTAAAAGCAAAGAGTTTTCTCAAGACCTTCGCAGCCTTATTGTTGCAAAACATACTGATGGCATTGGTTACAGAAGGATTTTTAAACTTCTGAGTTTTCCAGTGAGAACTGTTGGGGGCTATAATCCAGAAATTGAAAGAACTTCATTTCACCATTAACCGGCCACGACCAGGTGCTCCTTGCAAGATTTCTGACAGAGGAGTGAAATAATTATCAGAAGAGTTGTCCAAGACCATTTGTGGAGATTTTCTGAAAGAATTGGAATTAGCAGGTACAATTGTTTCAAAGAAAACAATAAGTAATGCACTCAACCACCATGGCCTGTATGCATGCTCACCACACAAGGCTCCATTGTGAAGAAAAAGCATGGTGAAGCTTGTTTTAACCGCTTGGCGCCGGCTTCATGCAAATGTGCGGCTTCCCGGCATCTGGGCCTTGACGCCAAGCGGCTGTACATTTGCATGCAATTCAGAAAAACATATGTACTGAGAGCATGCGCCCTGCGCACTCCCAGCACACATGCTCAGTACTCACGGAAAGGTCCCGATCTCCTCTTGCAATCGGGACCTTTCCCGAACATGTGACAGCGAATCACGGTGGTCACATGACCCTAAAACCCCGCCCCCCAGCTTCTGATACCCTTAAAGGGCCGGGAGGCGCCGGCGCCAAGGGGATAAAATTTGCTGCACAATATTTAAAGTCTGTGAAATACTGGGAGAATATAGTCTGTCAGATGAGATCAAAATTGAACTCTTTGGATGCCATAATACACACCATGTTTGGAGGTCAAATAACACTGCACATCACCCCAAAAAAACCATAGCAACAGTGAAGTTTGGAGGTGGGAACATCATGGTGTGGGGATGTTTTTCAGAATACGGTGCTGGCAAACTTCATGTCCTTGAAGGAAGGATGAATGGAAAAATGTACCAAGACATTCTTAAAAAAAATCTGCCATCTACCAGGATGATGATGATGAAACGAGGGTGGACATTTCAGCAAGACAATGATCCCAAACACAAAGCCAAGGAAACTCTCAATTGGTTTCAAAGAAAGAAAATAAAGCTGCTAGAATTGCCCAGCCAATCACCTGACTTGAATCCAATACAAAATCTATGGAAAGAACTAAAGATCAGAGTTCATAGAAGAAGCCCATGAAACATTCAAGATTTGAAGACTGTTTTTGTGGAAGAATGGGCCAAAATCACACCTGAGCAATGCATGCGACTAGTTTCTCCATACAGGAGGCGTCTTGAAGCTGTCATTAGCAACAAAGGATTTTTTACGAAGTATTACATTTCAGTTAGCGTATTCAATACTTTTTTCCTGTGTCATCCCTTTTATTATACATAACTTAATTTCTGAACTTATTTGTTTTGGTTTCTTTGTATGTATAGATTGCATTAGTTGTTACTGATGTGGTAACAATTCATGTCAATAGCACCTTTAGAAATATATTTATTGAGAAAAATGGTAACGTGTTCAATACTTATTTTACCCGCTGTATATATTAGGGAAAATTGTATTCCATACTTACCATAATTTTCCTTTCCTGGATTCTCCCTATGTCATCCTACCACGGGTCAGCTCCGCCTTCTCTGACCCCTCTAGGACAACCTCTTTCCTAGCCTATAAGAGCGG